ATATAATGAAGATGACCCCTAAGTCATTTTGATAAGGGTGATTATAAACCATATTTATGGCCTGATGATTGGTAACACTGACTTCATCAGAATCTTTTCTTCACTTACAAAGAAGAACGTATGTTTGTGTGTGTGCATGCATGTGTTTATGGAATTAGACTAGTTATAAACAGGCTGATGGCTGTCAACAAGAAATTACTTGTTTTGAGCTAAGTTGCATGAGATTTCAATTAGAATCTGTGTTCTGTTATGTGGCCTTGAACGGGAACATACGCAGTGATGATCTGAGTTCCAATTGTGTTTTTGTTTACTATGAGGAAAAAGTAAGATGAGAATGTAGATAGAGCTCTTAACAATTTCCAGCACATGGTAAATGCTCCTTAAATCTCTATCTTGTCTGTTTCAGTTGTCAGTCCATTGGTGTTTCAGCTCTTAGGTCACATAATGACTTTTTTCTTCGGTGGGAAAAAATACAAGATAATACTGACTCTTTAAATAATAATCTTGAAAAGACTTGTAATTCAGTGAGTTGACTTTCACTTCCCTTAAATAGTAACAAAGTTAAATAATTTTATGTGGCCAAAGCCATACAGTGATAATAATTGTCAACCATTATTTATTGTCCAGAGGAATGGGTTGCTCTTGATACCGTTCCATATTAAATGTCTGTTATCTATTTTAATGTAAGTATGAGGCAGGAAGAAAAACTTGTATCTTTATATAAAACTCATTAAGAATTTAAAATAGATGTTAATGTCTGAGTTTTTTAACTTTTCAGCGGGAGTGGCTTTTCTAGGATTGAAAATGGAGCATCTCATTTACAGCTTTCTAGTACAATATGGTGACCCTTGTCAGGGAGATTTTATAGTGGCACAGTCTGTCCTCCCTTCTTAGGTTATAATTGCTCAAGCCAGATATCTGAGCTCAGTTATTCTTACTGCCCTTCTCACTCTTTTACCGCTGTTCATTTAGGCCCCAATTTCTATTGAATCTGTCTTTGAATGTTTCCTAAATTTGCTTAACTTGACTCCTCTCCTTAGCATCACCCTAATCCAAGTAAATATTATCTTACCTCTGGATCAGTACAGTAGCTTCCCTGGTCTCCCAGCTCCATATGTGCCCCACATTATTCTGCAAGTAGTAGACACAACAGTATTAAAAAATTTTTTGATTATTTCCTTGATTTTCCATTAAACACAAGATTTAACAGTATTTAAGACAGCCCATATACTCTACATGATTTGTTTCCTACTTCCTACTCACCTTTGTAGGTTTCACTTTGCATAAATCCATTTTAAAGTTCAGTTTCCTAGATGTAAACTATTCTGTAAAGCAGATACCTCTATTTGTTGTTTTGCCTTTGCTTTATTAGGTGTTTGTTTTGTTTTGTTTGTTTATTGAGATAAGGTCTGGGTATATAGCTCAGGTAGGCCTGGAACTCCCAATCCTCCTGCCTCCCAAGAGCTGGAATTACAGGCTCCTGCCACTGCACCCTGAATGTGTTTTATTTTTGCCCAAATATTTTAGTGTCTTTGACATTATAGCCCAGTCAAATAATTTAGGGACAACTTTCAAACTTCACCAACTTAAATTTTCAAGACTATAATTCTTAGTCACCTAAAATTTGAAATTACAAATTTTTAAAAGAAATGCAATTTCATTCTATTAGATTACTTATAAATTCAAGTTTAATTGCTCAGGAGTCTTATACTTTAACAGATGAGTATAATTTATGACCACAGCAGAAATTACTTTATAAATTACATTTCCAAGCACTTTCTCTGTGACTGTAGTAAATATTTAAAAAACCATGGTTTGTCCTAATCTTCTAAGAATGGGGATGTATATTCTGAATTAAAGAGTGAAGTCCCATTATTAAAAATAGTCTGGGTGCTGTTGGCTCACACCTGTAATCCTAAACCTGTGAGAGTGAGATTAGGAAGATTGCAGTTCAAGGCCAGTCCAGGCAAACAGTTCGAGACCCCCATCTTCAAAATAACCAGAGCAAAATGGACTGGCAGTGTGCCTTACGCGGTAAAGCATCTGTTTTGCAAGCACAATGCCCTGAGTTCAAACCCTAGTTCCACCAAAAAAAAAAAAAAAAACGGGGGCAGGGAGGTCAGATCAGTGACGTATTTAACTTCTGCCTAACACCTCTGTATGTAGTCTACTGTTCTGCTTTGTAAAACCAAATATTTCCAAATTTTATTATTTTAACCTAGATAAACCTTTTGACTGGAAAAGCATGTCAGTCGGAATCAGCCATGTTAATTTAGTACATTGTTCAGTGTTCAAATGGAGTTGCAAATTGTTCTGACACTTCATAAATTAATGTTAAATGAATTATTTAGTGTTAAACAAAGAACCCTGCTTAGTTATTTTAAACTATTCAAGGTTAATCAAAGGATTTTAAGATGTAGTTCTTTAAAAATATGTTGTATTTTCAGTCCATAGATTAACCTTTTGCATTTTGAATCATAGGATGTCCTCTTTTAATTAAAACCATAGGAGTTGACTTTTTAAATATATAACAGAAAGGTTAAATTTTAATATGAGCTCTTTATTTAAAATAAAAAGTCAGTGTTTTCCTTTATTTAAAAGATTCAATACTTTGAGAATAAATGTGGCCTGATTCTGAATGATGAAATTGGCTTTAGAATTGTTGAGTTTGAACTGAGAGTATGCCTTGTGAACCTGAATCAGGATGCAGTGGCTACAAATAACTTCAAGTGTATGACGTGAGTACACTACCATTTGTAAAATAGCTCTTACCTGACAACTGAAGCCCTTGAGGAAGTCTCACATTGTACAGGAATGGGAGCAAGCACTTAATGTAGAGGAAGGAGGCAATGCTTCCCTCCTTGAATGCTTCATACACTCAGACCAAGGAGTGAGAGAATGGAACCAAGGAAGAGAAGTTGGTGGCAACATAACAGATTACCACTGAGAAAAGCCAGCCTGAGCTCATTAGGAGATAGGATAAAGTTACAGCCAAAGACATGTGTTCAGAAACAGGCTGTCAGGACTGGGGGCCATGGCTCAAGTGGCAGTACCCCTGCAAGGCCCTGAGTTCAAGCCCTAGAGCCACCACCACCCACCAAAAAAAGAGTAATAATAGGCTGCCACTTAATTTGTTGTTTTTGTTTTGCCAAGGAGTTACACATACCTAGTTCTCCTAACATTTTGTCATTTTAAACCTTTCTAAAGGTTTAAAAGTTTGGAGAATGCACTTGTACCTTATCTTTTTGTCTCACTTGTGGGGAGTGGGATGGCAGTTCTTGGGTTTGAACTCAGGGTTTTACACTTGCTAGACAGGTGCTCTACTGTTTGAGCCATGCCTCCAGCCCTTTTTGGTCTGGTTAGTTTGGAGATAGGCTCTTGCTTTTTGCCCAGGCTGGCCTGGGCCAGGATCCTCCTATTTTAGGCTTCATGTCTTCTCTGGGATGACAGGCATACTACCACTCCCAGCTTTTTTCCATGAGATTGGGTCTCACAAACTTTTTCCTCTCCCTTGGGCTGGCCTGGAACCATGGTGCACCCTGTCAGCCCCAGCTTGCCTCTCTTATAAGCCTGAACAGTACTCCTCCAGCTTACCCTCAAAGGTACAGCTTTGGGTTAATCTTTATTCCATGTTAGTTGCCATCAGTTGTCTAAAGACTCTCTGCCTCCATCCTCAGGATTGCTGAGGTTAGGGATGGAGCAGTAAGGACTTTATCTACGGGAAGACAAATACTGCTCCATCCCCAGCCTCTAACCATCCAAGAAAGGATGGTGTTTCTTTTTCTTTTTCTGATTATAAAAGTAATACATGTTTATTATATAAAATTTAGAAAACACATAAATCTTTAAAAATGTACTAAATCTGATCTTTTCCTTCCCATCTATTATATAGTGCCACCTCTAAATAAGCAAGATGGAATTCTTTTGTTTTTGTTAGGTAGGCAGTTTTCTAACATTTTTAGTTTCTTTGTCTTTTTTGGTTGGTTGGTTGGTTGGTTTTTTTACATTTTCAGTTTCTTTGCTATGATCACCAGTTCCTTTTGGGTTTATTTCCCTTCACTGAGGTAAATCCTTGAGTACTTCTCTAAGTGAGGATCCATGAATGGTAAATTTAAGGATTTTTTTTCCCAAAATATTTTTTTCCACTCTTACTCTTCAATTAATAAGTTACCTGGATTGGCAGACAATTTTATTAAATATACTACATTTTGTACTCTGATATCCTGCTGATGAGAAGTCTAAAGGTACAATGATACCTTTTATGTCTTTAAAAATAGAAAGCTGTATTTCCCCTCTTAAAACAGTTTTTTTGGATTTTATTCACCAAATAAATTAATCAAATTTTTAAGAAGCAAATGGTTGAGTATAAGATAAAAATCCAAAAATTGCTGCTTTAAGATACATGTAATGATCACATATGCTATACATAGTGTCATGTATTTTATAACTCTTTTTCCAAAGGCAGTATTTTGAGTTACATTTTAATTCAGATGGAGTTCTGAAGTAGTTCTAGACCAGTGCTGTCTAGTAGAAGTTTCTGTAATAATAGAAATATTCTATACCTGCACAGTCCAGTTAGGTAGCCACTGGACTAAGGTATTCTTTTTATTCACCTTTGTTTCCTATCAGTGAATATATGCTCCAAATTAGTAACGGCACTAATTTTAGACCATAATTTAAGGCAATTCATTTTAACCTGCAAATTTTTTTTCTAGAAATTTAAACCTGTTTAGCTTCTTGCTTTTAGTATTTAAGCTTTGTCTATACAATATAGAAGTAAGCTATAGAATATAAGGAAGTATTTGTATGTTTAGCTTATGGGACTGGTTTATACATTTTTGTCATACAGTCAGTGTTTTTAAGTATTAAGGCTAGTATAATACTCTTAGATTACCTGTTATAAATTACTCAGCAATTACTCAGTAAGGTGAATTTTAGAAATAACTCTACAGGTTTCACTCTACTAAACAAATGTTTTAATAATGCATTCTATATTTCAGATTGCAAATAGAAGAGTCTTCCAAACCTGTAAGGCTATCCCAACAACTGGACAAAGTTGTAACAACAAATTACAAGCCTGTTGCTAATCATCAATACAATGTAAGTCTGTGTGTGTGTCTCTCTCTCTCTCTTCAGTGCTACATCTTTATTCTTTTCTATATCACAGACTCTTGGGTTTTGAAAGGACCTCAGGAGTAATGAACCTGGCCATGTGGTGCTTTAGAGCCTGATCCATACTTAGGAAAAAACGTGATAATTTTCCAAGCATAGAAAAGATGCTTGTTCCATATCATAGCTATACAAGGAGAAGGCAACTACCCTCCTTTTTTTTTTCTCCCCCACAGCAATTCACAGAATCCAAACTACTCTTGTTTTTATAAAGAAATAAAACACTTCAATTCTGAAATGACAGTTCAGTTCAAGCCCTGAACCTTTGTTATGGTTGTTATCATATAAATGAGTCATTAGAGTAATGAATCATATAATAATCTTTTATTGAGATTTTGTTTACATAAAAACAAAGACAGACTATATAACATTGTATATGAATGTTTAGTGATTGTTTTCTATGGCAGTGTATCAAAATGGGTGGGGAAGCCTGCACAGGCTTGTAGTGTGGTATAATAGCAGTTACAGAAATTGTCTAAAACTTTTGTTATTTATCAGAAGGGAACATTGATTTTCAAGATATTGACAGAATCAACATAGTTCAAAAGGAATGACTTAGAAGTGGCATAATCAACCCTTAATAAAAAAACTTAAACCCCATAATGTTAGAATATATTCAGAAATTTGCAAAGTAGAGCTATATAAATAAGAAGCCCAGAATTGCATTCATTCATTCATTCATTCTGTGGTGCTGGGGATTGAATGCAGGACTTCGTGTAGGCTAAGCTAGAAATCTACCACTGAGCTGTAACCCTAGACCCTAGCATTTCATTTTAATAGTTGTGGTTCTTTGAATATATAAATAAGAAAAAATTTTATGCCAAAAAAATGAAAGAGATGAAAGTTTGTATATATACTTGTAAAACTATGTCCCTGCTCTGTTTCTCAGTGCCGACAAGCCTTCTTCCACTGAGTTGTACCCCAGCTATCCCTACATTGGATCAGAAAGAAATCACCTCACATTTCCTCCCAGAAATTTTTTCCCCATGTGGACTGACCCTGAATTCTTACACAGCTCTATGTTAATCAATCGTTTTTTAACAAAAGAGTAGAAATTGTGTAACACTGAGAAGTTCACTGTGGTGCATTCACATTTTCATTTCTTTCAACTTTTTAGGTTTGGTGTTAAATTCAGAGATTTATAGATTGTAGTACCTATCATTAATACTAAATCAAGTGTATATGAAGAAGAAAGTGAAAAAACTGATACCTCTCTTGCTTCTAAAATGATCTCTTAGGCAGGTGCCAGTGGCTCCTGCCTTCATGCTAACTTCTCAGAAAGCAGAGATCCGGAGGATCACGGTTCAAAGCCAGCACAGGGCAAGTAGTTGGCAAGACCCTACCTCAAAAATACCCAATACAAACAAGGGATGGTGGAGTGTCTCAAGTGGTAGAGCACCTATCTACCAAGCTTCAGACCTTGAGTTCAAACCCTAGGACTGCAAAAATAAAATAAAAATAAATAAAGTGATCTGTTTACCAGTTACTCTGTGAAGTAGAAACAGGGACAAAGGAATCAGATCTGGCAAGAACTTGGCTCTTCCAAATGGAAGTTATCAATATCACTTTAAATATGGCTTGTCACTCCCTGTCTTTAATGATGACTCAGTTGTGTCTGTCTTGGAAACAGAAACAAGTCTAGATATATAGAACAGAAAGGGATTTACTGAAGGGGATTTGTTACAAATGTTTTATGAATACAAAATGGAAGTGCCAGAGTTGCCAAAGGGAGAAGGTTTGTTACCAGAGATCAGAAAGCTGCCACAGCAGAAGATGCTTCTGCCAGTACAAAAGAAAAATAATCTCCCTCCTACCTTCATTCTCCCATTGACAGAACAGCCAAACCAACTAGTCAGAAAATCTTGGAAATGTATTTTATCCCTTTAATTTTTATTTAATATATACTTTGTAATATCAATATATTAATACGGAAGTACATTTTTATAATTAACAAAGATACATAATTTTATAGTTCATAACTTTTCTGCTAGTAGAGGTATTTATCAAAAAAGCATACTTAGCAGGTGGGTGCCAGTGGCTCATGCCTACCTAACCACTTGGGAGGCTGAGAATGGTAGGATTGATGTTCGAGGCTAGCCGAGCAAATAGCTCACAAGACCCCCATCTCCAAAATAACCACAGCAAAATGGACCGGAAGTATAGTTCAAGCATTAGAGTGCCTGCTTTACAAACACGAAGCCCTGAGTTTAAAACCCCAGTCCCACCAAAAAATGTAAATATATTTAGCATATATTTTAGCTAATGTGTAAGATTCCTTCCATCTCCCTGCATTTCTAAATCTGAGTAACGGTGCCTCATGTGTGTGCTTTGGTTGACTTATAGATATCATTAGCATCCTTACATGTATTCTATAGTCCCTTACCATCTTTCTCATAAGGGATCATGTCCTCTGTTGTCTAGGTAGTAATTCTCAGCATGAACTTTATACCGGAATCACCCTAGAAGCTTTTTTAAAAAATGAAAATGCTTCCAGAAATTGATTGAATTGATCTGATGTGGACAACTACTAGCTTAAGGAGTTTTTTTTAAGCTCCATAGATAAATCTAGTATGTAGCCACTGATCTGAAGACAGCCACTTTTTATAGTTCTATCTGCCATCTGTTGAAGAGGGGTCAAGTCATTGTACCTGGGAGGGACTAGACTTCTTTCATCCAAGACTAGCATTTTTAAAGAGTATCTTCTTGTCTTTGTTATTGTCCCTGCCCCTTCCCGCTCCTCTCTCTCTCCCTTCTTCTCTTTCTTCCTTACCAGGTTTTGAACTCACAGCCTTGTACTTGCCTACCACTTGAGCCACACTCCAGCACCCTACCCCCTGCTTCTGACTGAAACATGATTTTTTTTTCTCTAGTTCTTTGTCAGAAAGTGACAGAGAACTAGGAAAGCTTAACTAGAAAACTGTTCAGTTGAAGAAAAAGAATTGCTATATAAAATCTTGAGGTAACTCCCAAGAACTAGAAAGAAAATTTAGTTTTATGCATACTCTGTTTTCTTCAGTGTGACAACCAATTGTGTTAGTCTCAGAACCAAGGTTGTTGAGTTTTGGAGCTTTTGAACTTTACTGATTAAAATAGCTGCCTAGGACTATATCATAAAGGATTTTCCATCAGTACTTATTATTGCAATATGTAGTATAAGAATCCTACATGCCTTTTCTACTTGAATTTGCACACTAACAACTGACCGATTCTACAATTCTAAAGTATTAATTTCCTGCGAAGAGATGATGACACACCAGGCAAAAATAGAAGCATTTGTGGAGGGGAGGGGGAAATAATCTTTCATAAGGATTTAAAACACAAAACCACGATAGTCAAGGCTGTCAAGATCACTTCAGAAGTTAGATTAAAAAGCCTTCACAACGACTTCCTTGACAAAGCAATCAAAGTATTTCTGCAAACAACAGCCTAGGAATTTACAGACATCTGAATTAAAATATTTTAATTAGTAGTGGGTGGCATTTATAATTTTAGACAGTGATTAAGGTTTCATTAATGACAGTTGAACATCTCAGTACCACACCCATAATGGATTTTGGGGGGAATTGTAAAATTTATAACTGGAGACTAAGCTTGAAGTACTTTCTGAATTGACATGACATTGGCTATGCAGTTATCTGTGGTCTCTTGGGGACAGATAGAAGATCAGGAACTAAAATTTACATAAAACCAAAACTTTCTATTCCAACACCTATGAGGAATGTTTTGTATTGGCTGCTGATAAGTTTCATATCTAACTGCTTTGACTACCTTTTCATTCCAGTGCCTGAGCACCAGTGAGAAACAAATGTGCAAGGAAAAATGGTTAGAAAGAGAAGTAACATTTCAAAACAACAGTCTTCTCCTAGGTAGACTAGCTCATATCATTTGTAGTTTATTTGCATAATTAATCTTATTGTAGTACTAGCTTGTGAGTAAAATATTAAGATTACCATTTCTACTGTTTTTTGTTTTTGTTTTTTGGTGGTACTGGGGTTTAAACTCAGAGTCTCATACTTGCTAGGCAAGCGCTGTACAACTTGAACCACTCTACCAGCCTACATTGCCATTTCTATATTGTTTAGTTTAAAAAAAGAAAAGTTACTTCAAGGACCTTAATGTTGTCCTAAGTATAAGACTAAATATTAATAACTTAATGATTATGGAAAATGTTTTAGTCCCTTTTTATAATTGCACGTACACTAAAACTATTTCCCTGATACCACAGAGAAGAATTTGAATTATGAGCCTGTCTTAGACATTATCAGAAAAGATTTAACCAATCTTGCTTTAAAACAATTTTTTCTGTAAGTTATCCAATAGTATAGGCTCTAAGGAAAATAAATAGATGTTGTGTTTCTCTTGTTTCTTTTAAATAAATGTAGGGTTAATTTTCTAGTACTTGCCAATCTACATCTACTACTTAAGCTATTTTACTGTATGGTGGTTAGTCAAAAGTAAAGGAACTGCAAGTTTCTGGTTTCTAATCCCCCCAAGCTAACCCGAAAGAAAGCCTACTTGAAGGGAAACACGTGTCTCATAAAGCTTCAGGAAATACTCAAAGTGGTTTACAGGTCAGCATTATTACTATTTTAGGGCCTTGAAGGTTTGTGAGTCCTGGGAGCAGCATGGACCCCATGTTCTGAGCCCCTGTTCAGAGGCCTGCTGCCTCGAGGCTTCAAATCTAGCAGCTCTCAGATGACTGAAATCGGTGCCTGTGTGTTTGCCATGAGCATGTTGAACTGATGCTTTTTCTTTCTTTTGCTTTTTGCATGTAGATTGAATATGAAAGGAAAAAGAAAGAAGATGGAAAGCGAGCTCGGGCTGATAAGCAGCATGTCCTAGACATGCTATTTTCAGCCTTTGAGAAACATCAGTATTACAATCTTAAGGACTTGGTGGACATCACAAAACAACCTGTGGTAAGTACATGTTCATATTGATCCTTTAAATATGTCATGCTTTGTTAACATGTCATTACTGAGAAATGTGTCCTTTGTGTATAATTAACTTCACATTCACTTATACTAGTGACAGGTTATGTCAACACTAAGGAAACATGCCTTAATGCAACTATTGTTTGTAACATCGGCTTAATTATTTTGGATTTAAAATATATTTAATATTAACATTTCCATGTGAAGAAAAGAAATTTCTTTCCTTTTGATTTATCCTTGACATTAAGACCGAAGTCTTTGTTTTATATTTCACTTTCTTAACCTTTGCTTTTTTATTAAGAAATTAAATTCCAAAGCTCTAAATGTTTTATTTTTTCAGTGCTGGGGACTGAACTAAATATTTTTTAATAGAGAAGAAGAAAGTGCTCATGCTGCAGTATTATCAACTCATCTTAATGATTTCATTCCCTTTGGCATCAAAGCCATAGAAACAGCATTCCAAGCTAGATTAAAAATTTTGAAAAAGAATAATTCATTAGCTAAGCTGTGTTTCTTCTGGTTTTAATGAAATTTACCTTCATTATTTTTATATATAAATATATCTACATGAAAAGGCCATTCCAGAAATTCTTAAAGGAGACAGGACATTCTTATGGAACAAAACATACACAAAGTTAGATGTGGGAAAAGAAGCACTTGTAGAATAACATTCTAGTGCTACTAGGGAAAACAGTATCTTTGCCTTAACATGGGATATGAGGTTTATTCATTTTTCATCAGAGGAAAGGAATTATAAGAATGCCTCTGTTTGGGATGGGTGTATGGTGGTACACTTCTATAATCCCAGCACTCAAGAGGCTGAGGCAAGAGAATCACAAGTTCGAGGCCAGCCTGGGCTACATACATACACTGTCTCAAAAGAAAAAAGTCTCTATTTTGATTCTTTAGATAATTAGTATATGGTAGTACTTAGTGAATCTCTTAGAATAGGACTTCCTGACCATAATCAAGGATGAGCTTTGGGGAATCCTGAATATGTGCAAAAATATTTGGATTTTTCTAGGGAGCAGATCACTAGATTCTATCAGATTCTTATGGCAGACCACTGGCTAGAAACTAAGTGTGTTTTATAATGGCTTTGTTATTTAAAGACTACTCTGCTTCTATAAGGAGATTTTTTTTTTTTCAGTGCTTAGGTTTGAACTCAGGGCCTATACCTTGAGCCACTCCACCAGCCCTTTTTGGTGATGGGTTTTTTCGAGGTAGGGTCTTGCCAACTATATGCCTGGGCTGGCTTAGAACCTCAATCCTCCTGATCTCTGCTTCCCCAGTAGATAGGACTACAGGCATGAGCCACCATCACCCATCTGCACAAGCAGATTCTTTTTATTTATTTTATTTTTTTTTTTTCCTTTGGTACTGGGGTTTGAACTCAGGGCCTACACCTTGAGCCACTCCACCAGCCTTTTTTTGTCAAGGGTTTTTTTGAGATGGGGTCTCTTGAACTATTTCCTGGGACTCGCTTTGAACTGCTATCTTCTGATCCTAAGTACCTAGGATTACAGATGTGAGCCACCATCACCCAGCTTCAAGCAGATTCTTGAAGGCAGCATTGTTGTATGTTATCTCTATCCTTAAATATTCACATACCCCACAGTATAAATACAGTTGAAATTCAGAATTGATCTGAAATAAGGAAAATCCTCAAGCCCCAAGGACCATCATTTTTCCTCAGATGGATTTGGATAGGTCTTATGTTATTTATGGTGAGTTGAGGGAACAAAGAACCAGTATCAAGAAAGTATGGAAAACTGGGGATGTAGCTCAGTGATAGAATGATTGGCCAGTGTGCACAAGGCCCTGGTTCCATCCCTAGTGTCAAAAAAAAAAAAAAAAGGAATGCCTTTGCCTTGCTAACGTGGAGGTAAGCCAGAGCTAGAGTTGCCCTCATCTAGAAGATGGGGCAGCATGGATGCTAGTTCTGCTGCTAACCTCAGTGGAAAAGATGCCTCTATTCCTAAAACTGAGGGAGTTGGACCAGCTAATCTTTCTAACTCTGAATCTTGTGATTTTCTCCCTCTCCTGTTTCACCTCTCCACCTCCCTTTCACATTTGAACTGAGTTATCAAAGCCCATTGACTAAAACGAAAGTAGCCAAAGACCACTTCTTTTCTGTGTAGGTAACTGTCCCCCCTTTCAAAGTTAAAAGCACATAAATTAATCTGTACTAATGGTCATCAGTACACCCACACTAATTTCATTTTAGTGTGGAATTGAATCAATCCCAGCATGAAGATCAGTGATCCAGGTAAGGCCCCCTCCTGGTGTAATGACAAGAATGTGGATATAGAGTAACAGATCTGAGTTCAAGTCCCAGCCCTGGACAAGGTCTTAAATATGTTTAATACATTAATTTGCTTAACATATGGCATATTTAACATAAAATTTGCCAGTGTATATGTTTATAACATAAAATTATACTGTGTAAATATATTTAAAATGGTACCTAGTTTATGAAATCCTTGTGATAATTAGATGTTTGTGAAAGAGGCTTTGTCAACTGGAAATATTTTGCTAATGTTTACTGGTAGTAGTATAAGAATGTAAAAAGGAAAAAAGAGATGTTAGGTCAGTTCCTTAGGGTATGCTCCAAACTACTTTTGAAAACAAGTTTTCAACCATGAAATCTACCACTGCACCACACCCTCTTTGTTATCAGCAGTACTGACACCATCGGCTTCCTGACTTTTACAATGTCATTTTTGACACGTTCTGATTTAATCTGAAGTATTTTTCTGTTTTTTCCAGTTCTTTCTTCTCTATTTTGGTTTTTCTTCCTTAAACACCTTCATTTCTACAAGAAAGCATATTAATTATAGAGAAATAATCCCTAGGGGCTCTTTGTCTCATTTGCTTGCACAGGCAACCAGAAACAGTGGAAGTTTCTCATTAAAGACAGAGAAGCCACTTTGAGAAGGCCAGAGTTTGGTAACAGTGTTAAGTCAGTAGTATAACTTAACATGAAAATAGTAATCCTCCCATTTTCAGGTCATGATTCAGGAAAGTTTATCTAAATTGATAGTCCCCAACAGTGTCAATCCAGTGGACTGCCTCTTAATTCTGAACTTGCAGTTGAACAATTGGAAGTTGTTCAAGTCAAGTAGGTTCAAGTCAACAGGAAAAACTGGGTGCAGCGTGGTGCCCATACTGTAAGTTCTCTCTCTGCCTTTAAATACTGCCCAGCAAACAGATGCTTTCAGTAAACAGAAGTGACACTACTGTGTCAGAATCAGGTGTGATTACCCTAATCTTCAGAGTTTATTTCCACACAGGCTTAAGTAAGGGTTTGAATAAAAGTAATTTAAGCAAAGTTTGGAATCAAGATAAAGAGTTAAGCTTTTTTAAAAGAAAAAAACTGACTAGAGAATTTTGAGCATTTCTCCTATTAAAAATAAAAATTTAGCTAAACATGGTGGTTCATGCCTGTAATCCTAACCACTCAGGAAGTAGAGATCAGGAGGATCAAAGTTCAAGGCCACCCCAGGCAAAATATTAGCAAGACCCCATCTCAACAAACAAGCCAGGTATTGTAGTTTGTATTATAATCCCAGCTGTGGTAGAGGTATAAGTAGGAAGATTACAATTGAAGGCCAAAGGGAGATCCTATCCAAAAAATAACTAAAGTAAAAAAGGGGGCCGGGGGCATGGTTCAAGTACTAGAGTGCCTTCCTAGCTAGCACACGACCCTGAGCTTAGTCCCTAGTACCATCAAAATTAAATAAATAAAATTTTTAAATTTAAAACTTACTGGATATGGTGGCACATGCCTGAAATCCCAGCACTAGGGAGGTGGAATCAGGAGGATCTTTAGAATATGGGCTGGTGGAGTGGCTCAAGCGGTAAGAGCACCTGCCAAAAAGAAAAAGAAAGAAGGAGACTGGAGACTATGTAGGGAGACCCTGCCTCAAAAAAATTAAATAAATAAATAACATATATTGCGATGTGGGTCTCTTGAGTTAGTTGAGATTGTTTCAATTACAAGGAACTGAAATTCAACTCGAGCTAGTTTAAACAAAAATAGAATTTATTGCTTCATGTATCTGGAAAATTCAGGAATGCATCTAGCTTTAGCAATGGCTATATCTAACTACGAATATTATTTACATAGAACTAATCCCTTCACATCTGTCCTCACTTTCCATCTTTCTTGTTGTCTTTATTTTTAGGCAGATTCTTGCCGTATGGTAGCCAAAATGGCCTCCTAAAGCACCTCTCACAGCTTGCAGCCCCTCAGAAAAATATCTGTCCTCTTTATTCCAATAAGAGCCCCAGAGATTCTGGGTGACCTGGTAGGAGCTGTGTGACCATTCCTGAAACAAGGAGCTAGATGGAGCCAGAAGTGCTCTAGCAGCCAGGTCCACTGCCTGTCCTGACCTGTTCCACAGCACCTGACACAGTTTGTAGCTCATTGCTGTTCATTGTTTTTTATTGCTACCTCAGATTTAATGTTTTCAAAACAGAACGCTTGATTTCTCTACCCCACACCCTAGCCTTTCCCTGTTTCAGTAAGTGACATCATTGTTCCCCAAATTGCCTAGGGCAAGACACCTGTAATTCCTGTTCTTTATGATAGATACTGCAAGTTTTGCTGTGTGGATCTCTCACTCAGGATGTTAAATGTAAAAGGTATCTTAAGGAGTTTATTTGGTCCTGTTTTCTACTTCACAGGCCCCGAGAGGGGAGCTGGCTAGTCATTGTTCTGACTTCAGTCTAGGAGTATCTCCATCACATTGCTGGGATTTATTCAGACACGTGCAGATCTGTGCACAAGCAAGGAAAATACTTTCCTCACAGTAGGAATGTCTTTTTAATGGGGGTAAAAATTAATTTTGCTCTCAAGCAGGCTGCTTTCTGCTTTTTATATTATGAGGCATCATCATCATCAATAAGCATAGCCAGGCATGTAGAAAATAAAATTTAAGCTTTGTCTTTGCTCATTCGGTTCCTAACCCAAAAAGAAAAAATAGATACTTTGATGTTTGAAGCTCATTCCCAAATTTACTACTTAATAAGTTTTTTATTATATGCTTTGTTCCTTTGTTCTAAAATAAGCTTTTCCTTTTTTACTTAATTCCTTTTTTCCTTGTTTTCTATAATATGTGTCTTTTTTCTGTTCACGTATTCCCTTTCAGTTCTCCCTTCATTTTTCCTGTAAGTGAAAATTTTTATTTTGAATGATGCTACAAAAACTAAAGATAACTAGTTTCCCAACAGAGCATAGTAATTAATGACAGCCCATTTTTGAGATGTCTGTTTTAAAAACTAAGTACTTGCTAACTTATGGAGTCTAAATTAAAAGTTTTAGAATACAAAATGTTACTCTGAAATAACTGTTGAGTATAAATGGGTGAAATTCAAATACATTTGTGAAATTTTAATCCTTTCCTTTTGGTTAGAAGCTTCTATATAAGTATTAGATCTATTGCTGAATATATTGTGGAACTGTAATTTTCTCTTTTTAACTTCTTATATGGTTTGTTTTAGTCTTTTTTTTAAACCTCGTCTCTGAATGAGGTAAAATTTCAGGTGAATTGAATAACATACAAAATTGACTCAAGATTTTACATAAAATATTAACATAAGTAAGAGCAGCATCTAAGGCAAGTACCCAATAACATAGTTGTGTATTCAATGTGCATTCAATTATATACAAAATTTAACCCAGTATTTTCTAGTGAGTGGTCACAAAATTTATATTTAATATGAAAAATCTCAATAATAAAATCTCCTTCCTCATCCTTCCAGTTCATTCCATTTTAGAGAGGTAAAGTAAAAATTTTGAGCTTACTGACTACTGCTGACTTTAGTCGTTCTACAAGCTGAAAAGATTTGTCATCCATGTGGAAATAATTTCCCTCAGGAAAAGGAAGAATTTCTGTGCATTAGTCTCTGCATTCAAGAACACATTACTCTGGGTTTTGGACAAGTGTTCAAAGTCTCCCTATCTCAACTAGTGGGTCAGATGCCAGAGAATAATGCTGCTGGCAGAGAGCCTTGTAGTTCCAGCTCTGGCTTTCTTCAAGTCTGTGTTGTAGCATTATGGAGCCATTCCTTCTTTCTAGAATGTCCCAAGATATATTTTAATTGTAAACTGATATATAGAGCCAGACACTGTTTATTGAATATGTTACTTTAACCATACTACTTGAAAACAAAAATTGTGCCATCTTAATTTATTGCTATGAGCTGGAGATGTCGCCTTTCTCCTCCCAATTTAAAACCTTTATTTTCAGTGCAAATTTTATGTTTTTTGAAGTGTACAGGTCAGATTTTAGTATATTTGGAATCATACAGCCATCATCATAATTAATTTTTAAACATTCTCATCATCCCCAAAAGAAATGCCGTATCTATTAGCAGTCATCCCACCCCAGTCCCTAGGCCCTAGATAACCACTAATCTACTTTGTGTTTCTACCTTCTTTGTTATGGACATTTCATATAAATGAAATCAGATGATTAGAACTGGCTTCTATCACTTAGGCATGATGTCTTCATGCTTCTCCGTGTTGTGGCATGTGTGAGTACTTTGTTCCTTTTTATTGCCAAATGTACATCATTGTGTGAGTATACCATACTTTGTTTGTCCATTCATCTGTTAATGAACACTTGGGTTGTTTTCACAATTGATAGTTTCTTGTGTTTTGTACTTTCAGAACCATACCTACATTGAAGTATGCTAGACACACACACACATTTGAAGACAGCATAATGAAACCTGCCAAACCCTTTGAAAAAGTGGGGAGGAGGGAGAGAAGGAATGAGCATATAATGGAGGGGGTGCACTTGTTGAACGTTTGCTGTACATATGTATAAAACTATCACATTAAACCCCCTGGTATTATCAATGTATGCTAATTCAAAGATGAAAATTTTTTAAAAATATACACCACATGTACTGATAATAGATAGTTGCCATGGTTCCAAATATAAGAATTTATAGTTATTTATATTTCAAAAGGAATATTATTGTTTTCTTTATCAAGATTTGGGTTCTCTATATTCTCCTAGCTAACAATTTCAAATATATATTTACATATAGTATGTATTGAATTTTTTTATATATGTATAATTGTTTGTTGTTCCTAGTTGTAAACCATTATATCCCAGCCTTAGAATACCCTGTAACTTTCCAAAGTTAATTTATATTCAGTATATAAATAAAGTAATAATTGTTTAATGCATGTCTTTGGCCCAAAGGAAATAAACTTTATCTGAAATATTCAAACATATGAAGCATTTGCTATAGCCAGGTGATGCTACTGAGATAATTAACTAACACACAAATATTAATGAAATTGTTTTTTCAAGATTTGGATTATGTGTAGAGTGGGAGAAAGTTTATCCCCTGATCATTTCAGTACCCATCTGTTTGCTTCATTGAGTTTTCAAAGGAAGAAGTACAGCCAGTGGGAGCCTGAGAGGAAGACAAGGGACAAGGTTTAGTGGGGAAGAGGAAGTAAAACCCAAAGGTGGAGAAAAATGCAGACATGGCCCATGTTCCAGAGACTTCCCCCACATCATCTTCCCTTTCCTGTTCACAGTTTTTCCTGTCTAAAGTAATGAAAACATCTGTTGCCTTTGTTCACAGTATATTCCTAATATGTAGTTTATTTTTTAATGAAGAATTTGGAGTCACTAACAGCTTACTTCAGTAAGTCCTCTGTTCTGTTGTCATCTCTTGATGGGTCTTAAAGGAGTCACAGTAGTTCACACAAAGATTGCATAAAGATGGAATGATATTTTGAAATTATCACAGAACCAATAATGCCCTTCTTGCCAAAGCGTGTAGTGCATTTTCCTGCAATGAATCTCTGCCATCTGTGATGTAGATTTGCATACTGTGTATTTAGTCTTTGGGGAGCAGATTTTGTGACTAGAAACCTAGCAGGGTCATATCAGCTATTTAAAGCATTAATAGTTGGTGATCAGCTCCCTGTTAAAGCCATATGGCTTTCTTTGTCATGGTGGGTTTTTTGGGATTGGTGTGGTTTGGTTTGGTTTTGGGTGGTACCAGGGTTTGAACTCAGGACTTCGCACTTGCTAGGCAGTCACTGTACCATTTGAGCCACACCTCTAGCCCAAAGATACATGTTTTTAATCAACTTTAGAAATGTAGATACAGTTTATTTTTTATTATGTATGTAAATGCTTATCACTGAAGTGCATGATGAAATGAAATACAGATAAATCTTCCATTTGGTTGGCAGCACAGTAGAGGAAAAGATAGGAGAAATGGTGGGTGGGAGGAGAAAGGAGAAAGGAGAGACTAAAATAGTAGGCTGCTGTGCCTTGTGCTACGTACATTTGCCCTGGTGGTTGGGGAGAGGGGGAATAGGGAAGCTGATCTGTGGATTTTTGGCTTTTTGGCCACCACAGTTTTATCTTGACCCACAAGTGCAAACCATATCCTAATGCTTTGACCTCTTTGGTCACATTTATGCCTTGCCATATCCTTCCATAGAAGCTGCGATGTTTTATCCCTTTTTTTCTTTGTATTCAGACTTGCTGTAAATTCTCTCCCACACATCTCTTTGATGAAGAATTGTTGGACCTGAGCCAGTTTATTTGGATTGTGTACTGCAACATGACACATAACTCTGTAAAAAGAAACACCCCAAATTATATGTAACATGAAGGTCTACTTGGTTCTAGAATCCTTATCTAAAGTACAAGTGGTTACACAAAAACTAAATTGGAAAGACACTCAATGTTTATAATACATAAGTAGGAATAGAACTCGTTTCTCTTGCTTTTGGCACAGAATCAGAATTGCTATTCAATTCAGATGATCAAATTTCCATATTCAAAGGCCCTAACATCTTTCTCCTTTTTTTTTTAATGGTGGTGGTACTGGGGTTTGAACTCTGCTTCATGCTTGCAAAGCAGGCGCTATACCACTTAAGCCACACCTCCAATCCAAAAACCTAATATCCTGATGTAGACTGGGGTCAGTGACCCTTCTCAGTGTTCCCAAAATACCCTGTACATATATCTTTACTACTACACTTATACTTACCTACTTATATGGCTTTGTCTCCACCCTAATCTTAAAGTGTGAATTCTGTGAGGAGGAAGACTGTATAACACTTGACCTGACACACTGTAGGTGCTAGAATATTTGAACTAATGTATCAATAGAAAAAAGGAAATGAAATTTAAAATTTTCAATCATGGTAGAACCTTTAAAATCTCCCTCTTGGGGC